TTGGGAACTGAAATTTGCGGTGAAGTTACAACTCACTTCTCTTTCTCAAAGGAAGGGGAAATAGTGGGTATTACTGTACGTCCAGTTTTACTTGTCACAGTAAATGGCTGGCCTCTCTTTGCCACCCTCGCTGTGTCCCTCATTAATCCACACTGACTTTATCAGATGCTTTTTTTTTTTTCTTTTTGACTGAAGGTTCCCTGAAGGCAAATATAAAATATTCATTCACTGCATCCATGGAAAGTGTCTTTTGTAGTTGATTCTCTGTGCGCTTATATCAGTTAATATTTCATAAACCATGTTAAATAGGAAAAGGACATCTTTGCTGTAATACAGAACTCAGGAAAGCCCAGTTCTTTGCTATATGCTTAGTGTGCATATTAGTAGCTTTTTCCTGGTGGGGGTGGGGTGGGGTGGGAATTCCTCATCAGGAATCAGGGTGACTCTGAAACTACAATTTTAAAAATCTAACTCTGACAGTTCTACCCCAACATTTTTTGTTGTTGTTGTTGTTGGAGGCTAATTATCTAGGTCATAGTCTAGGTCTTAGAACTTTGACTTGACCAAGATGAATTGTATCAAGTGGAAAATGCTGGTTCAAAGACGGGCCTGAGGGGTAATCTAACTCAGTGGTCCCCAGGGTGGACAGTATTGGACTTTGCCCTGCAATGACTTGGGTTCGAATGTCAACATTTTAAAATTTTAGCTATGTGGGTAAGTTCAACTGACCTCTTTTAGTTTCCCCATTGGCAAAATGAAGATTCACTAAAGCGCCAGCATAATACAGTAAGTGAGGTTCAGATGCTAAAATGCAGAGGCACAATATCAGAAGGTTGATGAGCTGGCCTCATCGTGCCTCCCCTGCCAGCCATGAATTCTCAGTGGGTTGTGCAGCCCCAGTCCGTCCTGGTTCAGGCTATGATTTGGTGCCACCGAGTGGTGGTTAGGTGCTATAACGTAGACGTTAATGAGGATCTTCTGGATCCTGTCCTTGATTGGAACTTTCAGTCAAGTGGCAGCAGTGCCAGGAATTTCTAGGCTAGTTGGTGTCTTTCATTGGTGAGATCTGGAGTGATTTAGCATGGATTTAGTTCATGTCTCGTCTCCCTCCCTTCTTCCCTCCCTCCCTTCCTTCCTTCCTTCATGATAGTGGGGATAAACCCAGGGATGCTCAACTACTGAGCCACATCCCCAGCACTGTGTTTTTCTTTCATTCTTCTCAAGGCCAGGTTGCTTGCTGTTCCCTGCCTGGCCTTACTCTTCAGTGTGCCTTTTCTCCAAAAATTATATAGATTTTAGTCTGTTTTTTGACTGAAGCTTCCCTGAAGGCCATTTACTGTGACAAGTAAAACTGGACGTACAGTAATACCCACTATTTCCCCTTCCTTTGAGAAAGAGAAATGAGTTGTAACTTCACCTGTTACAGGTGGGAGATGGGAGCCAGTCATCAATCAGATTATATCCAAATGTGTGTCCTCACAAGGAAGTTTTACACACATGTACATGGTACTTAAGTGTGATATGATGTAAGTGAAGGGGTCAGTACATAAAAACTCCTTAAATAATGAAAATTCCCTTCTCCATCCTCTGGTAGGAAGAGAGAAACAGGGTTCTGCATATAGGTGTGTGTTCAGTGAGCATTACATCATGGTGGATGGTCCCGTGGTTTACTTTAATCAAGCGTGGGCTTCAGAGTCCCAGACCTGAGTTCCCAGCCTGCCCACCCCGCACTTGGGTTGAGGTTCACCCAAGTGAACCTTACTTATTCCTTACTTATGAAACAAAGACATTTAACACTCAAGTGTCCTGTTGTGGGCCAGGGGTGTAGCTCAGTGGTAAAATGCTTGCCCAGCGATGTGAGGCCCTGGGTTGGATCCTGAATAAACAAACATCATATTTTTGTGAGGAGAAAAGGAAACCCCAAAAGTTGGGAGTGATTTCGAAGCATAGCCAGTCCTTGTATCCTTGTCCTGCTCCATGATACCAACACCATGGCATATCTTATTTCTGCCTCACACTTTGGTGATCATTCTTTTAAGGCCACTGGTTTAAATCTAAGTAAATATTTATCCATATTTTTAATCCTTTCCAAAGTTGAGTCCCAGATAGCCCCACTGAGTCAGGGATAAACGTTTTAGAGTTTTTCCTTCCAAGGAGAGTTAATCACCTATGCTCTCATCAGTCGTTTAGAAGAATATGCAGTGATGGCAATCCCCAGCACTTAAAGTTGATCTAGTAGGTGAAAAAGCCCAATAGTCTGTGTGTGAGCACGCTAGAGGACTCGGGGCTTTGCATGTTGAATAGTCTTCCCTTGGTGATTTTTGGAATAGAGGTCATCTGCCCCCTAGTAAAACAAAAAATGGTTTCCTGCTCAGATTTCTTAGCACTTCCCAGTCCCCATTCCTGGAAGCAGTCGGCTCCTCTCACATTGGATGAGGAGGCTCAGCCTGCTCTGGGAATTCCAGTGTGAGTTTCTGGTGTCCTCCTTGCTCTCTCTAGTGGTCCCATCCGAAACTGCAGCCTGACTGTCTCCCCTTTTCAGAACAGGATTCATCTCTGTGGGAAGTCTTGGACTTTAATTGCAATCAACAATGTGTGACCTGTTTTTTCTTCTGGTTGTGAAGCTTTCAACCTTTCTGATTATGTGGTATTTTTCTGTCCTTGCCGCTTTGCTCTTGGGAAGGGATCGAGGGCAGCAGATCAGCTCTTACCCAATTATCTTTTTTTTTGGGGGGGGGGTTACTGGATTGAACCTAGGGACACTTACCCCGGAACTATATCCCTAGCCCTTTTTATTTTTTTTATTCAGAGACAGGGTCATGGTGTCTGAGCCCCATCCCACCCCCATTTCATTCGGTTTTTAGTCTTTTTAAATCATGCAGAAAGCTGAAGATTTCCTTCCAGTTATTGGTCTTCATACCTCCTTTGTGGTTTGTCTTTTCCCATTCTTTGCCCGTTTTTCATATAGTGCTATTTATTGAGTTATTTGCATAATTTAAGGTGAAATCCTTTTCTGTCATGTAGTGTAGGGATATCATCTTTGGTTGTAGTGTTTTATCTACAGGGTGTATGTGCGTGCACGCACATGTGCATGTGTGTGTGTTTAGAACTATAGGAAAGTATGGTGGGAAATAACCCTTATTTACCTATCACCCAGATCGCACAGACACTTCTACATTGTCATTTGGGCTCTATATATTTTTATAAGGGATGTAAAGTATTATAGATGATGAAAATCCTCTTGGTTGCCCTTCCCATCCCATCCCTTTCTTCCCCGGGGCAGCTGCTGTAATGGATTGAGCATGGCTCTTTCCAGTCCCAGTGTCCCTACTGTTTCACATGAACAACTGCCAGTAAAACAAATCTAGTGCTAGTTCATGTGTGTGTGCTTGAGCTTATGTATGTCATATTGATGTATGTTTGGAAAATTTGCCTTATTCGTAATTTTCGTTCAATTAATAATGATACGTATAGATCTAGCTTCTTCACATTGACTGCTGAGTAGAATCACATCCATTGAATATAATTTCAAATTCTTTCTCAGTTTGTTTATCAATTCTTCTATTTTGGGAAACACGGAAGACACTTCTCGTTTTTCTGTAAGCAACTTTGCATGAACATCTGCACGTACGCCTCCTTTTTCGCATATGGGGATCTTCTCAAGGGCAATGGGCTATAGGTTATAGGAATTTTTAGCTCTTGACAAATTGTTCTCAGGGTTGTCCCAATGGACCCTTGCACCAGCATCACCATGACATGGTGTTGTCGGATTTAGTCATTTTTGTGAATCTGTGGGATTGAGATAGAATCTGTGGCCTTAATTTCATTATCCTGATTGCTGTTGGGATTGAACATCTTTTTAGTATATTGTAGATATTAGGTTTTTATAATAACCTTGCCTATTATTCAAGGTTTAACAGGTTTTCTTTTCTATACTCTTTCTTTTCCTTTTGCTCATTTTGCTTTTTCTTATTGATTTGTTAGCATTTAGTATGGTATATATAAAGAATGTTTATCATATGAAGATATATAAAGAATCATTCTTTACATGATATATATGTATGTGTATATATATATATACTATAGATAGAAAATAATTATATATAATTATATATATTATATACAGGAAATAATTATATATATAGATGTATATGTATATAATTATTTCCTTTCTGGACTGGGGATTGAATTCCGGGGCACTTTATCGCTGAGCTACATCACTAGTCCTTTTTATTTTTTGAGACAAAAAACTCCTTCCAATAGTGTGTGTTTTCTACAACTCAGAAGAAATAAAGTTAACCAATTTGTAGAATTCCCTGGTAGGTTGTCACAAGCATCCCCTGGAGAACATGTCAAAGTGGCTGTCATAAATGCTGGTGGAGTGCCTGGTGCCGTGGCGCACCCCTGTAATTCAAGTAGCTCAGGAGGCTGAGGCAGGAGGATCACAAGTTCAAAGCCAGCCTCAGCAACTTAGAGAGGTGCTAAGCAACTCAGTGAGACCCTGTCCGTAAATAAAATATATTTTTAAAGGCTAGGCATGTGGCTCAGTGGTTAAGCACTCCTGGGTTCAGTCCTCAGTACCAAAAAATAAAAAGCCAGTGGAAAATGGCAGCTTTGTAAGACACTGTTGCCGGCACCCCGCTCCAGTGTGTGCCTCTATCCTCTTGTCGCCTGAGGTTTCTGGCTTCTTTCTAAGCAGAGAGGAGGTCCAGAAGGTGGGCATAGGATGATTCCCTCAGCTCTCAGGGCTTCATACCAAATAGCAGCTTCCAGGGGATCCTTTCTTCTGTCTTAGCCTGCCCATGGCTGAGAATCATGGCATCTTTTAGTAACTGGAAACTTACTGGCAGTTGGCATTTCTTTTTTTTTTTTTTTTTTTGTACACATGTGTTTATTTCTGTTTAAAAAAAAAAAAAAAAGACATCGCCTTTCCTTTCACTCTGTTCTCATTGCACATTAGCATTTCTCTTTTTACACTGTCTTTGTATTTTTTACCTTAGGCCGGAAGCTGAGAGGAAAAGCCTTTTATTTTGTCAACGGCAAAGTGTTTTGTGAGGAAGACTTCCTGGTGAGTATGTCACCCAGCTTCCCCTCCCTGTGCTGGCCAGAGAGACACAGGGCCAGGAGCCTGGGGGGACCCAGACAGTAGGAGGTGGATTCTCTGCACTGCCCAGCTCTGTTGGGAGGCCACACTGCTGGACAGACAGGCCCTGGCTATCTTCTGGAGATGCCAGGGTAGCCCTTATTCCTGGGGTGATGCTCCGGAACTCCTCTTTGAGAACCTCTGCATTTAGGAATTCAGCTTTTTACATAAATCCTGGCACACAGTAGGTGCCCAGCACAGCTGCTGTTAGAGTGGTGGTGTTAGTATTTGTAGTGGCTTTTGTGGCAGAAGATAGCTCCTGACTCAGTGTATGGCTGCATTGTTCTCGGGTAAAATGACAGATTCCTGCCCAGAGTGACACATCGTTCTCATAAATTGCTTATGATTCTCTGGTCTGGTGGGAAAGTGGCTGATTCATCCACCCAGCCTGGGTTTGACTTCTTTTCCCTTTCTTCTGCAGTACTCTGGCTTCCAGCAGTCTGCTGACAGGTGTTTTCTTTGTGGACATCTGATCATGGACATGGTGAGTCAGATCAGCTGAACAAGATCATAGCATCTTGGGAGGAGGAGGCAGTTGCGGGGGGAAAAAAGAAATTAATAATGGAGCACAGTGCTTATTATCTTAATTGGTGGCCTCGGCTGGTTTTATTAAAAGAAGTCCCGGTGAAGTGCAGCCTGCTTCCCTAATAGAACCCACGTTGTTGGCTTTTTGTAATATTCGCAGCTTTAATCATTCAGACTGCACAGTGTTGATTCTGATCTTGTTCTCTCCTTCACTGGACTATTTGGATCACATTGGCCCTCTGATTTCTCTGTGATCTGGTGGCATTTCAGGTACATGCCAAATGCAGCCTGGTTTTACTGCAGAAATCTCAGCCAACTTGAAGTTGAGTGCAGAAAATCAGTTGAATAGGGTTGTTTTTTCCCCTGTATTCAGTCCAGCTCAAGCTCCTAAGATAGGTTTGGGGGCCTGTCATTAACTTCTCAGACAGTAGAATTAGGCCCTGGTTGTATGTGTTCTATCTCTTGTTTGGCTGCTGGCTCTCAGAGCTTGCCCTTAGAGCTTGCCCTTGTCTCTTCAGCAAGGACAGTTTTTCCCTAGGGGGTTGGGTTGTGAAGTTAATGAATACAGGGATTGAATCGTTCACCACTGGAAACCTGCCTTTAAGAATGTCTTTAATTTACTGATCATAGGAAATGATTGTGTGACATACTTTAGTTGGAAAGCATTAAATTCCTCTCTCTCTCATGATCCATCAACTCCATTCTGGAGAAGAGAATCGCCAATCATTACTTCTTTTTTTTTTTTTAAACCTTTTTATTGATAAGTAACTCAGAGTGAAGCGTGCAAATTTTGGGTGTGGCTGATGAATTTTTTACACATGTACCTGCCCACATAACTACCACCCAGATAAAGATTCATGACATTGTTTGAACCCCAGAAAGTCCCTCTTGCCATCTTCCACTTGAGATCTTATTCCCACAGTGGCGACTGCTGTTTGGCTTCCGTTGCCACTAATATGTTTTGCTGGTTCTGAAATATCATAAGAGAAGCATTGTCGAACATAGATGCTTTTGATGTTGATGTATTTAATTTTTGTTTTCTGGGGGTACTGGGGATTGACTTCAGGGCAACTCTATCACTGAGCCACATCCCCAGCCCTATTTTGTTTATGTAGAGGCAGGATCTCACTGAGTTGCTTAGTGCCTTGCTGTTGCTGAGGCTGGCTTTGAACTCAAGATCCTCTTGCCTCAGCCTCCTGAGCCGCTGCCATTGCAGGCGTGCTGCACCGTGTCCGGCGAGCATAGAAGCTTTTGAATCTGTCTTTCCTCACTTAGGGATGTGTTTTTGGTCCTTCATTTATTTTTGTTGCAAGGTAGAATCCCATTGTATGAAATTGATGGGAATTGGGGTGTTTTCTTTTCTTTTTTTTTTTTTCGTGCATGATGCTGGTGGGAACTCTCTTGTGCATCTTTGACAGATATAAACACTCGTTCTGCTGGTTATATACTAACATTCATAAAACAACAGTGAACAGAGTCCTCACTATTCATGAAGAATGCCTGTGGCCATGAAGTATTGATACATTGCACCAGAGCTTAGCCTGCTTAGCCACGTCCTCACTAGTGGCCAGGGCCTTCCTGGGGAACAGGGCCCTCTACCTATTTCCTCAGGGGGAGGCATGTAGGAGACATGTACCCTTCCCCCTACCTTCCCCAGTTGCCTGCCAGACTCTGTAGGGCTCCATTTCTTTTGCAGAATTTGTCCTTGTTTTTAGAGTTCTTCTGACAAACCCACTGCATATGAGATCAGCATTGTCCAAATTCATGAGTACTATTATTCCTTGTTCCTACTTATAGGTGTCCTAAGTCTTCTTGGGCCTTAAGTTATATCATTTATCTATTGCTACATGATAAACCACCCCAAAACTTAGTAGTTTAAAACAACAGTGATTTATTATTTATCATGATACTGTGGGTCAGGAATTAGGTTGGGGCTCAGCAGGGTGATTCTTCTGCTCTCCGTGACATTGGATGGAGTCACTTAGCTTTGTTCAGCTGGTGGCACACTTGAACTGGAACCTCTGAGATGACCTCTCACCCCTAGGCTACTCCCCATGTGGACTCTGATCTTTCTGTAGTTTGGTTCAGGCTCATAAAAGGTAGAGGAAGCAGAAGCTGCCAGTTCTCTTAAGTCCCAGACTCCAAAATCTCAGGACATCACTTCTTCCTTATTCTGTTGATCAAATAAAGTCACAGGCCAGTCCTGATTGGGGAGGGGAGTATTCTCCATTTCTTGATGTAAGGGTCAACATATGCATCTAGGAAGGGGAACACTTGATTTGGGGAGATGGTTTTCTACTCTAGGGGATCATGGAAGTTGGACCTGCAATCTCCCAGGTCTTTTTGAAGACTCAAAACCTCTTGGTGAACGTCTGTCTGGTAGTAAGCCTGGATTTTAAAGACAGAACCCTTGACTGCTGCCAAGAATTTTAATAACACACTGCAAGATTTTTTTCAGATACCACGCTTATTTCTATAGCAGAGCTTCAACGGTCCAACTCTGTATAAATGGTCTGTTCATATCCCTCTTTGTTAATAAAGGGGTATATTCTGGAATAGGACATAGTCTTACATACCAGAATTATTACAGCTAGTCAAGATGGAATGAAATAACTTTTTTTTTTTTTTTTTTACAATCTTGCTTTAGGCACGTCATGGGTTCAATTAATTTAAGGATCTCTTTCTGCCAAGGCAGCATTGGTCTGGAGGAAATGCATTCCAAGGCCCAAATTGCCAAATGGACTTTGAAAGCCCAGCAGTTGTTCTTCCTCTTTGGCAGTTTACTATGGATCCAGAGGGGCCTCTGAGGTAGTGAAACCCAGGAGGGAATGAGGAAGTGTGAAAGCTGAGCCTTCAGAGGTGAGCTAGCAGAGCACAAAGTCCACCTCTTGCCACGCTGGCTAGAGTGTGTGCAGTGTAGAATTATCTGCTTCCAGTGCAAGGAACTGAAACATGATATGTCTTTCCCAGGGTCTCACAATGTCCTGACTTTCCAGTCCCTTTCCTTCAGCCTGTGTGAGATTTCCTACATGGCTTCCACTACTAGGGACAGGTGGCCGCCTGTACATTCTCTGTGCATGGGTGTTTGTGAGCTCCCTTACTTGTGTAGATTGTTTTTGCTCTTTTGTGGCCCAGGTAATTGCAGAGACAAATCTATTGAGTCAGTGAAGTTGCTTTCAACTATAAATTATAGGAGAATACAGACTCATTTTAACTCGAACCAATGATTCCTTAATTTAGCATGCATCAGAGTCATCTTATTAAAATACAGAACTTTACCCCACAGTTTCTGATTCAGGAAGTCCAGGATGGAGTCTGAGGATATACATTTTTACCAGGTTCCCAGGTCATGCTGAAGCTGTGGGTCCAGGGACCACACTTTCAGAACCTCTGATTTAGCGGTGAGGTTTGGAGATAAGGGGTCCCAGGGTGAGTTAATTCAGCTCCTTGCTGATCTCCCCAAGGGTGTTCTTTCCATACCCACCCTCCTCCCTTTGCCTGTGTCCTGGTTTCAAGATGGTGTCAGCAGTTCCAGGTGTCATATCCAGAACAAATGATGCTGAGAAGAAGGAGGTTTGTGGGTATTTGTCTTCATTGTGTTTAAAAACAGCTGCCACTGGGGACTTTGCTTTTACACTTGGATGTGAGATAACCAGGGCTTGAGTTGGGGCTTCTTGATTACCATACTGTGGAGTCACGCCACATGTGAGGAGCACCCAAGAAGCTAAAGTTAGAAGGTTTTTCCCCCCAAATGGCCGTTTCCCGTAGAATTATCTTTCATTTTCTCATGTAATTGCCGCTTGCCAAATTGGTGAGGAATCCCTCTGTGCCTCAGCTTTGCATCATTTCCTGCTTCTCTGTGGTGGCTTTTGGCCCTGGGATTGGCTCAGCCCTATCTCAGCATACCTCTCTAGGAAAGAGTTTCCTGCTGTGGGTGGGGATTGGAAAGGAGTCCCCTTAATTCCCTCCCTGCTCAGCAACCCTGAGAGGTTGCAGGAGAAGGATTCTTATAGATCCACTCCTGTCCATACATATAAACAGACCAGCCTTCCCATCCCTGTGCTCCCTTGACCTCCATCCAGGTGAAACTCTTGGGAGAGCCTGCTCCGTGTTAAGTTCCTGCCAGGTGGCTGGGCTGACGAGATGAGCTGGGTTCAAAGGAGCTGGCTGCAGCAATAAACTAAGAAAACGGCGAAGAAACCACACAACACACGGACATAAGTTTCTAAGACCAAGGGTAGGATGGCTCTTTGACCTTAAGGATCAGCTTCATGCTGGACAGCACTGGAAAGAGCATATACCTGGAATCTCTCTATTTTATAGGAGGGACATATAGAGGAGCTTCGATGGAATGTTCTTCACCAAATAAAGCAGGAGATAGGGTTTCAAAGGTGGAGTCTTGCTTTGTGATGTCTTGTGGTCAGCAATTGATTGACATCTTGGCAAGTTACACCCATTTCAGGTGCTTTGTGGGATCCCAGGCAGAACAAGAGAAAAGGTGCATTTACATCACACAGACCAATCAGCATGCAACGCCAGACCCATCCCCTCATATATCTCCAATGCGCACACACACACAGCCCATGGATGGCTTGTGACATGGAGTGACTGTACATGTGGCCCCTCTGCCCAGAGCACTTCTCTTTCTCCCACTGTCCCTTCTTTCCCTGGAATTCCACTAAGTCTCTGCCTTTCCTCCTTTGTGCCCCCAGATCCTGCAGGCCCTGGGGAAGTCCTACCATCCTGGCTGTTTCCGATGTGTGATCTGTAACGAGTGTTTGGACGGGGTGCCCTTCACCGTGGACTCGGAGAACAAGATCTACTGTGTTCGAGATTACCACAAGTAAGGAGGGAGGGACAGACGGGAACCATACACGTAGGCCACACTGATCTCAGCAGAGAGTGGAAACGACCATGATTACAGTAGCTTGTACCATTTGTCCAGAGTCAGCAAAGGCTTAATGGCTTTGAGGGTACAGCATGGGCCCTGGGGGGTCAGTAGATGCCAGCAGATAGGAACTGGTTGACACATCTCTTTAGTGAAAAAGTAGAACAGTGTCAACAAACCCTGTAACCAGCTTCCTGGTCTCGGGAGGACTCCACCAAGCTACCAAGTGCTGTGGCTCCAGCTTTATCTAACTTTGCCAGGTACCAAGTCAGGGTTGGTTTCTACCACACTGGGTTTACTGGGCTGTACTAGGCATCACAAGGGGAGCGAAGAGCCAGGTTAGTCTTTATCCAGGTGTCTTTGTTATAGCTGGGAACAATCCCAAAGCAACACTGAAGCGTGTTCCACAGAGCGAGCCAGGCTCCGGTCTTCTGGTGAGGGCTGGAGGGATGTGCCAGGATGTGCCACCTGGGCAAAAGGTGGCTCCTCGCAGCCTCCTGGTGCCAGCCTTATTCGGGGCCTCGCCTCCTAGAAACAACACAAGTACATTTTTCTGCTTCTTTGTTTTTCCCCAGGGTATTGGCCCCCAAGTGTGCAGCTTGTGGGCTTCCCATCCTTCCACCTGAGGTAAGATGCTTTCTCAGACATGTTCCTGGGTCTTCTAAGACCCGGGCATCTCCCTTAGGTCAGTCACAAGATTCTGTGTCCTGTCCTTATACCTTTCAGAATCCCAATTCTGAGACAAATAGCATTGCTCCCTTTCTCGTGGGCTGGCTTTCCCAGCCCCATGCCCTTCATGTGCCTGTTCATCCCACAACCAGGTCTAACTCCCCTACTTGATGCTTAGATTAGTAGATGAGCAGAAAAGCTTTTCGTTTTTTTCATTTAAAAAAAAAAAATTAAATGTCCCTGTTGGCCTTTTTGTTCTCTGTTGACTCCGGTGCTCCAGAAGGTGATATTGTCCCTCCTACTTCCTACCTCCTCAGCGAATTCTTCCTCCTTCAAGTGTTAGTTTTCACTGCAGCTCTGTGTTACCCCAGGACACTCTCTGCTCCCCACTCCATGGCCCTTGGCATCCACTGGGCCCTTAGCTGGCCTTTTCCACATGTCTTGCTTTTCTTTGGGCTCAGGGCTCCGATGAGACCATCCGTGTTGTGTCCATGGACAGAGACTACCACGTGGAGTGTTACCACTGCGAGGTAGGCCCCTCCCTCGTGGCTCCCAAGCCCATCTCAGAAGTCCAAGAGGAAAGCCACTTAGGTTACTGGGGCCTGAGAGGGTCGTGAGGTTATGGGTAAGATCTGCCCTCTAGAGCTAATGTGGGAGCAGACGGGGAAGATATGGGTGCTCGGGTGTGAAGGTCTTGATCATTTTCTGCACATCCAGAACTGGCAAGTTCTGAAACCTAAACTGCTTTCCCTGGTGCTGCAGAGCTAGGAGGGTCAGGTGGAGTGTGGGTCTCAGGTTTTGTGTGGGGACCAGGTCATCAGACAGGAGTGTGGTTGGGGGAAGAGACTCCCTTCCCTCCAGCACACAGGCTTTTCCATCTGCCAGAATCTCCTTTCTGAGCTATGCCCTGTAAATCATGAAGAAACCCCTCTTGGAAACAGGCATGTATGGAGGCCAGTGGAGGCTCACCTGCCGCGTGTCATGTGCCAGACTGAATGAGCCACTAGTGTGCCTAATGATTGCCAGGGAAGCCAGAGGTCCCCTCTCACCAGCCCCCATGAAGGCTGACAGTGGGATTTCCACAGGAGATTAAGTTCATTTTGTGATACTGTTGCTGGGGAGGGCAGGGAGCGTAGGTGACACATATTGAAGAACTGAAGGAACAGGTGGGACGCATGGCCAATGATACCCCAGGTCCCTGGAGAAGAGGGTGAAGATATTTGCTCAGCCATCCTCTCTGCACATCCCAGACCAGCCTGTCCAGTAGAGATATAAGTGCCACAAGTTCAAGTTGGGTGTATCACTTCCAGTTTCCCAGTAGGCACATTTGAAATGTCTAAACAAGGAAGTGGGATCAATTTTTTTTTTTTTTTTTTTTGGCAGTATTGGAGATCAAACCTAGGGCCTATGCTTGCTAGCATTCTTACCACTGAGCTATATCACCACCCCTGGGATCAATAATTTTATTCAGCCTAGTAGATCCATCCTAGTTATCCATCCTAGTAGATCCTAGTAGATCATTTCAACACGTAGTCAGTATAAAAAGTTATCCATGAGGTGATTTTCCATCATCCTTTTGTCCTGAGCCTTGGAAATCGGTGTGCATTTGCTCTGTCAGCACATGTTCTTTCCAGCCAGCCCCGTTTCCGTTTCCGGTGCTCTGTAGTGACATGTAGTCAGTGGCATCCAGATTGGACAGGTCTTCACTGGGGAAAGCTAGGAAACAGTGCCCCCTGCTGACTTGGGTTGGTGGCCTGATGTCAGTCTCGCAGTCTGTATTGTTCTGCTTTCATTGGACATTCTTGCCTTGCCCCCTCGTCCCCCAGGACTGTGGTCTGGAGCTCAATGATGAAGACGGTCACCGCTGCTACCCCCTGGAGGACCACCTGTTCTGTCACTCATGTCACGTCAAGAGGCTGGAGAAAGGCCCCTCGTCTGCAGCCCTCCACCAGCACCACTTCTAGCCAGAGCCACTCCCGGACCTCCTGGTGGGGGTGAGGGGCCAGAGCTGCACAAGGAAACATCTGCCCTTTACTTCTGGTGGCCCCTGGGATGGAATTGGGGTAGAGGAAGAGGAGAACGGGTGGGCGAGTTCCTGCATGTGTGGGGTTCCTTTCTTTTAACCAGGGAGGTAGTGCACTACCTGTCTGGTGTATGTATTTCCCAAGTGCTTTTCTCCTTGTCACGCCCTCGTCAGGTGACTCGGGAAGCCACTCCACTGTGTGAGCCAACAGTTCCCGCTTCAGGAGGAGAGTTTTGTGTTGATCACATTCCCAGTATGTCGTGAAGTGACAGCTCAGCAGCCAAGACATTCAGCCCTTCCCGATAGGAAGATGCCTTCACCCGGTCACCCCTTCATACATGTGTACCTCCAAGGCATGATTGAAGACTGCTTTCCATCCCAGATTCAGTACTGCTGAGAGTGGCTGCAAACTTTAGTCGCATTATGGCAAAAAGGAAGCTCTAATCCGTGCTTTGTGTCCTGAGAAGTATTTGCTTAGTAAGTCAGAGCCAAGGTTCCAGACACGGGAGCCCAGGCTCCTCCTTGGGCTCTCACAGCATTCTGTGCCCCTGCCAGTCCTCACTCTCTTAAGGCAGGGTGTGATGTTTGGGGGCCCCATGGAGGCTTGCCCTGTCCCTGTAAAACATGCTTTGGGAGAAGACCTTGGTGCAGGCACCAGGACTCTTTTGCCCACCTATTTGTGGTGTTTTTTTTCTCGGAGCTCTGGAGAGTCTGTGACTTTGGAGCCATTCCTGCAAGGAAGTCTCTGGATCCCATGTGGGAACATGTCTGGCACCTATTTTAGCTTATTTAACGAAGGCCTTTTTGAAAGCCCTGCCCACATTGCAGAGAGAGAACTCCTTAGAAGCAGGGAGAGTTTTTGTGTGTGTGAGATCTGTGAGCCGGCATGGCAGGCAGTGAGTTAATATATTTACTTCAGGGCTTTCCTTCTTGCCTACTTCTGGGCAAAGACATTATGTTTGAAGAAACCAACATAAGGTACACTGCTTTGGCCTATTTTTTTTTTTTCTTTTAATTGTTTCTGTCCACTTTTAGTCTTTCACACACACAAAAATACCTCACAGATAGAGCTTCACCAAATTGCATTTTTAGGAGGGATTTGGCCACCACACTGGACTCAGATACCTCCTTGGGTGTGTTAGGAATCGCTGGCTTCACATGGCAGACTCCAGCTGGTCAGGGTAGTGTGATCATAACTAAATAGCAGCTGGGAATAGAGCTGATGGAAATTCAGCACTATGGCCTTACGCATTTCAGCATACTGGCTCCCAGGTGGCCAGGGCTGGAGGAGGACCACACACTGGCAAGATTTCAAGATCACCTGAAAAGTCACAATTTGCCCTCCAAGTCACTCCAAGGCTGCTGAGGCCAGAGGATAATTCGAATGGGAGAAGCTTTAAAAAAAAAAAAAAGACTGGTTGCCATTTGCCCTCTTCTCCTGTGACGGGATTGCTGGGTGTCTCCCTGCTGCCAGCCAGAGCAGGGCATGGCTCTGGCCTCTGTACTCTGCAGAGTCCTATCCTCACACCCAGAGTGGGCTGTGGAGAGTGGTCAGTGGTATTGCTGGCACAAGTGAATGCAGACTGTTCATCGGGCCTGGCTCCACCTGTGGGCCATGTTTGGACTCATTGGCAGCCATTGTGGGTGAGAAGCACAGAATCAGCACCATGGATTGTCTTTTCCATTTCCTTTGTCCAGATGGCACTCCTCAGTTTCTGGTCCCAGGCTGTGCCTCCTGAAAGCCCATAAATGCATGGGCCTGTGGTGTGGACCCTGAGGCTGGGTCCCTCTCTTCTGAACAAGCCATCCAGCTCGGCTTTGGCAAGGCTGGTGGGGAACAAAGTGAGCCACTAGGTCTTAACCTAGCTCTGTCCCCTAATGTTGGCTTTGCCGGCACACCTTCGCTCCACTTTTGAGTCAAGCAGAGTGAAGAAAATTGTGTTGGAATCACTATCAGAAGGAGCAGGGATTTGTTTGCAAATGGAGTAATTAGTTTAAAACCCTTAGATTAATATTTTGAATGACATTTTTAAAGTGGCCTTGATAGAGGTATTTCAGATGTATTTGCAAATACATTTTATGTTGTGGGAAAAGTACAATACAGTAATTTCCAGATGTCCTAGAAATCCTAGCAGTGGACTTCTCTGATTGTCCAGTCTCTGGAAAGGGCACTGGTAGGGATCTTGAATTGTTTTGTCTGTCTCCATCTCAGGCCCTTGCATGAAAGCCATGAAGAGATGTTTGCCTATCTGTATTTTAAATAAATTATTGGTCCAATAGAACTGTAATGGGGTTGTATTTATGGGCATATAGGGAAAAACCAGGATGAATAAATTTGCTTTGAAAGTTAGAGAAAATAACCTTTTTGGTTTCCTGGACAGTTCTTGGACTTTAGATAAAACAAGGAGGATGAAGGCCTGATCCCAGACCCCAAAGTGAGCCTCCATCCTTCTCTCTTGTGTCATTTCGCCTTGAGATGTTTTTGCACTCTATCTTGGTTCTCTCCTTTTTTTCATCTGCTCACTTGAGTCAAAAGCAACCTGGGTGATCTATAAAAATCTGATAACCCAGTTTGGTCTGTCATGTAGGGATTCTCTCTCATTCACTGTTTCTCCTCCTGAGATGGAGATCGTCTGCTTTGTTATCTCTTACTGAAGAAGGGCATTCCTTCCTGGCATGAGGCAGTGGGTGGGGACTCCACTTCTCAGTTCCACTTCTCAGACTCCACTTCTCTCCACTTCTCAGTTATTAATATCTGAGTGTGCTGTCCTACAACTGAGAACCTCTGAGGTTCTGCTTTTGAGTCCTGGGTGGCTGTTAGAATAACCAAGGCACTCTGATCACCTTCAAGTGCTGTCCTTGCCTTGTGTCCGGGGGCCTGAGTCACATTTACAAGATGAAAAGCAGGATTGTTAGGATTTAAGAGAATTGTTCGGAATTCACAGTCCATTGCACTCCACTAAAGGCTGCTTTTATGTGCCCTTTCTGTGCCCGTGTGAGTGCATGCTGTAAGGTTGATAGTACCTTGCAGAGAAAGGGTGTGAGATTCTACCCCAAATAGTGGTTGCTGGATGCACTTATTAAAATTCTGTCTGTCAGGAAACCAAATTATTTTTGTACTTTCCTTTGCCAAGAATCAGTCCTAAGCCAGGCATGGCAGTGCATACCTGTAATCCCAGTGGCTTGGGAGGCTGAGGCCGGAGGATCACGAGTTCAAGACCAGCCTCAGCAATTTATCAAGGCCCTAAACAACTCAATGAGACCCTGTCTCTAAATAAAATACGAAAAAGGGTGGGGATGTGATTAAGGGCTCCCTGCATTCAATCTTCAGTATGCACCCCCCCTAAAAAAAAGAATCAGTCCTAATTTCCTAGTTAGTATTTGAAGTAACTTTAAAGTAACAACAACAAAATGAGTAAAAATGTACTAGGTATCTTTTGTGTTCTGAGCCAAAACTGGACAGATGTGGGAAATCTCCATATAGTTATGAAAGTTTTGCTGTATAGGAAAATTATTTTCCTCTGTGTGTCTTCTTTGCTATAAAATTATTCAAAATATTGCAACGATACAACTGAATCAATTTGTAGGCTATTAAAGTGTTCTCCAACATAACAGTGTTCACTGGGCCTTTTCTGTGTGTGGAATAATGTGACAGTGTTGACAGTGTTTTTACCCCTGGGTTTTACCCTTTTAGAACTCTGGATTCTTTAAGTAACACATGAGTTTCAAGAGCCTGAGATTTTACCTTCTTAAAGCTAATAAATTAGCATGGCATGGTTTCCTGGATCCTGGCAGAAGTTATGGAACTTGCAGATCAGGACAAAGGACAGTTTATTACTAATAGCAATAGTAGTAGCCTGATTATCAGCATTTGGAATTGTTTACTGAACCCTGTTTTCTACAGGGCTCCATGAAGAGGATCAGACAATACCTGCACATGTGGTGGGTTGCATTACAAGGGGCACCAGATGCTTAGGAAACCCTGTCTTTTATAATGGGCATTGAGTCTGCCTGATCTTTGCTCTGGAGAGACACAATCATTCACAACTGTTCAATGAACTAACATCCTTGAAAAGATAGTCTGGAACTAAGGCAGTCGGTGCCTATGCTCACAAGATTAGTGTTAGAATCTGAAAGGCCTTGGAGAATCATATCCAAGGGTGTGTTGATTTCTATGATGCAAATTCTCCTGTCACACCTAATTTCATTCTACCAACATGGCACCCCAGAATCCACCCCAAAGTTGGGAGAAGATAACTTAGTTATGAGCAAGTATGAGCTAGCCTCATGCATCTGGGGGTTGAAGCAAAGAGGAAATCTGATCTGGTTCTAAATTCCATGATTGCAACATAATAGGTGACATTAATTGTGGGGACCATGTCCCAAATGTTATTTTAAGGACTCCATATTCTCTATCATCCCTCATTTTATGAACATCTGAGAGACATGGATGGTGAAATAACTCTTCAGTAATACATCAGTAAATAGCAGGACCAGTATGCCATCCCAAGTACTTTCATGCAGAGTGGCCTATCTTGGCCACTCTGTCTGCTGAGGGGTTAATCAGTTGTACTTCAGTGTATTTATTCAATAAAGCCACACAGTCCCTAAAATGGCAATGAGGAGCAGCTTATCACTGCTGTTGGACTCTTGTTTTCCTGTTGCTACTGTAGAGTCATTCCTCAAACTCGGTGGCTTAAAATAGCACAAGTTTGTTAAAATTCTGAAGAAATGGATCCTCTGGGTTCACATCAAGGTTGTCTGTAGATCTGCACTTGATGCAGAAGCACTGGGAGAAAATGCATCCTTGCCCATTTCCGGCTTCTCAAGACTGCCGTGTTTCAGGGCTTGTGGTGGCACCACTCCAGCTCTGTAACTCTGCTTCTGTAGTCAGGCTGCCCATCTCTGATCACGCTCCCACCCCCCCATCATAATGACCTTTTTATTATATTGGGATTTTCCAAATAATCCCTAATAATCTTACTATCTCATGATCCTTAAGCCGAAATCCCCCTTGCTTTGTTGGATAAGATATAGTCGTAGATCTTGGACATCTTGATGGACAGCATTATTCAGACTCCAACAGAATATGTTTTTTTTAGGATGGAAATGAAAGTTTCCCTATTTTTTCAAGCATTGTTAAAAGTGGGGTTTGCATTTTTCCTGGATTGAAAACAGAAATGTATCATATATAGTAAACACAATTAGAATCTGGGTGTTAAAAAAGTCAGATGTCATACCGTGATGGGAGAAAAAAAAAAATCCAAGAGGTCTGGTCTGGTTTAGAAGTTCTCAGACATGTGACATCCCCAGGTGTATGACCCTTCTAGGAGAAGTCCTCATTGTATGATACCTCTGAGCTTGTAAAGCAGCTGAAAATACTGCTGCTACCTACCCACCCTCTCCCTCACTCTTCCAACTGATCCAAGTCCTGGAGAAAGGTGGCTGTGGGCACAACAGGTCTCTGAAGGAGTGAAAAATGAGGGAACTTAGGGATTTGGCATGAAGGCAGACTCCACAAGACAAAATGGATCCAAGGTCTATAAGTGGGAATTAGACAAGAAGGGAGCTATAGAGATCATCTGGATGGTGCCAATAATCTGCAGCTTGGACTGTCTGCATGAGAAGGCCCTGGCAGATTTTATAAAATATTCATATATGTATAAATAACAATTTATTATAGGAAAAATTCGGCGACAGATGTCAATTTACATTTACCCATCCTTGATGGTTTCTTATCCTGAACACTGCTGTGCTTAAGAGTCTTATTTTGGCTTATTTGGCGTTTAAAAATCCTGGAAGAATGCCTTTTTCTAACTGTATTCTCTCTCAGTGTCACTAAATGTTCATGAAGGCCTTGGTTTATGGTCCCCAAATGGTGAAGAAGACATGTTCAGAGCAACTGGGCGGGCCCTCTCTGGAGGGCAATGGCCCTTTAGCTGGAAATATTCTTTTCTTAAAACCCAAGAAACACAACACAACTTCAATCCCTTTTATTAAAAGGGAAGAAATGTCCAGAAGCCCAGAGCTGGTGAATAGAAGAATTAGGACTAGAAATGAGGTCTTCTTATGGCCAGTAAAGAGGGGAGAGTAGTATGTGACTGCCATCCATGCTCAGTCAGGGCACAGGACCTGAGCCTGTTCATGGGTGGCCTTCTTGGGTACAGTGACCCCTAGGGCAGGAAAGCCTTGGGTTCAAGAGCCCTCAGTATTCACCACTTAATTGTTCAGTGACCTTAAGGAAATTTAGTTCTCTCTTTTTAAAAAAATGAGGATAACAATCACAAGTTCGAGGCCAGCCTCAGCAACTTTGCGAAGCCCTAAGCAAATCAGTAAGATCCTGTCTCAAAAAATAAAAAGGGTTGGGGATAGGGCTCAGTGCTTAAGTACACCTGGGTTCAATCCTTAGTACCAAACAACAACAACAACAACAAAAACAGGTAACTGAACATAAAGAGATTGTTTTAAGGGTTGATTGAATTGGTCCAAATAAAAGAGCTTAAAGCAATATCATGCATGAAGTAACGGCTCAGTTAAGTGTGATAGTTTTTAAGATTTAATATATTTTCACATCAGGATAATCAACAAAATAAATTAGAAATGAATTAAATAAGAAAAAGTAATACAAATAAAATTTTTAAAAAGTGCATGTGATAGGGACCAGGGTTGTGGCTCAGCGGTAGAGCACTCACTTAGCACACGCAAGGCCCTGGGTTCAATCCTCAGCACCACATAAAAATAAATAAAATAAAGGTATTGACAACTACAACTACAAAATAAATATTAAAAAGTAACGTGATAGAAACAAAATATTAGCAAATTTGAATTAATAAAAGCAAAAATTAGGTTAAAAATATTATAAGGAAAAGATAAATAATAAACTGGCAAAAAGATTATAATGTGTTTGATAGCCAGAGTTAATATCCTTAATACATTAAAAAGTCATATTTGTAAGAAAAAAATTAAATATATTAAGAAAATAATAAGAAATAATGTAAAGGAAGTTCCATTTTTCAATTATGAAAATTAAAAATTATGATTCAATTTATATTCACATTTTATGTAAATATCCAATTTACATACATAAAAATAATCCAGTGTTGGTTAGCATGCATGGAAATAGATGCTTTTGATTGAAGTGTGTACTGGTTTAATCTTTCAGAGGGCAATTTTTAAAATATGTACCAAAAATCTTTAAAATGTCCATGAAATGGATCTTTAAAATGTTCACCTGGTTATCCCATCTAGAAAATTTTAAGACATAGAAATAATCCAACACAGTTATCAGTTTTATAAAGTGTTAAGCTGACTGGTTCCTCTGGCTCTCTGGTGTGCAGGCCATTTGGGGACTGTCCAGCTTCTGATAATGTAAGCCAATCTAATAAATCCCCTTTTATTAAAAAAAAAAAAAAAAAAAGACAGTTCCAACTGACAAGCCGTTCCTCAGAAATTATTTTCCAGACTAGAGAAGACTCACAGAAGGAAGGCTGAGTTACACGATGCTGCCAGCACCTTGGAAAGGGATCTCCCTTCTTGTCAGACCTTCTCTTTGTAACCGGCCTTTATGAATTGTTTGCAAGGGTTACTAGAGCCTCCCTAACCAGCAGGTTGAGGGGAATCAATGGCAAGTCAAATCTAACACACACACAGCATTATTTAACATAAGGAGCTCCAAATAAGTGTTAAAGAGAGGACAAGTGAGAGACATTGCAGCAGACAGTGCAGTCCGCCTGGCTTCATTCACATTGATCTTCTCCATTCTTCATAGAGATGAATGCTACCAACTGACGTTAAACTTCATTGAATGCTTAAAAAAAAAGTGTCAGGCTGGCAACAACCCACATTCCTAAAATATTTAGTTATTTGGTAGAACATCTTCCAAGACTATTTAATGGCTTTAAATCTCAGACAAAAAGCTAAAGGATACAAAACGAGACCCTGTGGGGGCGGGGGGGGGGAATGTGCAGGTAAATCCCTATTAAAGTGCAACAGAAAATGTTAATAGTGATAATCACAGAGTAGGAATTTGCTTTATTTATTTTTGGTGCCTTGTATGTATGTTTAAGCAGCCACTATACCACTGAGCTACATCCCCAGCCCCCGCTTTATTTTTATTCTCAACAAATTTCTGTTGGAACAACGTTATGATGGGAGAAATTAATTGATCATGGAGTAATTGGTTCATACAGTGTTCAAGGCAGCCACTCCGGGGGTTCAAGGCTCCCTGCTGCCGCAAACGTTTTGGGCCTTCTCAGGTCTTGTATCTGGGAACCTGTAAAATAAGGGGTGAATATACTAGATTAGACGGGGCGGGGGGTCTTCTCACTGTAAAATGACCAAGGTTTAAAATTTTCCCGATTTAGTTTAGGAACCAGAATGGTTGGGGGGGCCCAAGCTGGCACCAGGGCTGGAGGCTCCGAGGGCTTTGCGGACCCGCACCACGGCCCGCAAACGCACTGCGGTGGTTCCTCCTTGGCGCGGGCAGAACCGGAGCCCACCCACCTCGGGAAACCCGCGCAGCAACCCTTCTCACGTCGGTACGGGGGTTTCTGCTCCTTGGAGGAAAATAAGGTCTCCTAAAACGCGTTTTTGCGTTTTCGGTAGGTAACCCGCAAGCCGCTCACTCCAAATCGCCACCTCTCAGGTGCGTTTTCCTAAAGGTACTGGACTTAGATTTTATATATATTTTTTTTTACCAGGATTCCTCGTGTGCATCATTTAAGATGAGGGCGCTCTCCAATTTGCAAACCATTTCAGACAGCTTTAGGTTTCAAACATGGCTTAAAAGAGAGTATTATTGGGCAATTCAAGACTTTGACCTTCACAGTTTTTACACATAATTCTTTTCTAAGGACCCTTCCATATCAAACCCAAACGTCGCAAAAGAGCACACGTCGAGCCAGCCAGGAGTCGAACCTAGAATCTTCTGATCCGTAGTCAGACGCGTTATCCATTGCGCCACTGGCCCGTGCTAGCTGGGCTTTCACTGTGCAGCTAATCACCGCTGACGCAGTTTCAACAGGCTTCCTGGCACCAGCTCTCCGTTCCTGCCCCTGCGTCGGGTGTCGTGGCTCCGGCGCTGAGCTGCCGGCTCCGCCTTTCCCAACGAACACGCCGCACCAATCCGCAGACGCTACGTCACGGCGCTCTTCCACGCAATCCAATCCATCGCATCAGGGGGCGTGTCTCTCACGCTCCAACTCGCTTACTAGTTTGTCCCCCGTCGCCTCCGGTTCGCTTGCGTTCTTTCCCGCGGGGCGGCAAAGGGGTGGGGTGAGGCGGGCGCGGTGGCTGGAGTGCCAGGGTGACCGGTAGCGCAGCAGCGGAGGTGGTGGTGAGGCTCAAGGCGAGCCGGCGGAACGGAGAGGAAGAATTGGTGGTGCAGGATGGCGGCGACGACTTACGAGCGGCTGAAGCTGTGAGTTCCGCGGCTATGGTGGTTGACAGAAAGGGCCCGGGGGCGGCAGGTGCGGGCCGGCGTCTCCGGGAGGATCCCGACTTCAGGGTCGGGTCGGGTGGGGAGCTCCGTACCCCGGCCCCTGTCTCCAGGGCGGGAGCACGGATCTTGCCGGCCTTTCTGGGCCCTCTCAGCCTCGGCTCCCGCGGGGGAGCGGAGCTGCAGACCGGCTCCCAGCTCTCCTGGACCGCGTGACTACGCGGCCCTTCTGGGCGCTCCTCCCCACTTTTTTTTTTCCTTTTAAAAGAGAGCTCTTGGCCCAATTTATTCTTATGGCTTAGCAAAGAAAAAGAGGGTTTCCTTTATTTAATGTATTTATAGTAACGTTTTAAAGTCCACATAACACTTTTCTCTTGGTTACGTCGAAGGCTGCTTGACGGGTCTCTAGGGTGCAGGAAAAGAAATTTGCGGTCAGTACTTCTTTTAAGGTCTGGAAGGAGTTTACTTTGGTTTAAATTTTACACAACTGTAGCATAAGCAGGTCCTTAAGTCTTTGCTTCGTTAATCTCTACCGTTTGGACATTGCAAATTGACTTTTTGGTGAAGACAAATGCTTAGGGCTTTGGGAGAAAGAGGCCCTGGATGTTAAAGAGTTTAAAATAGTTGTTTGTAAGGGCTTTGGCTCGTCCTGGATAAATAATATGCATGTATTTCCCCTTAGTATTACCCTCAGCGTCTGCACTTTTCTTGTCTGGGAATAACTTTGTTCTACTCACTTTAATGCTTTGCCTCTAGGCTATTTAAAAATTTGGTAGTCGGGGAATGTTTTTGACAGCAGAATCAAATGTAATTTTTGAGAAGCTTATCCATCCCTCTGTATGTTAAAATATCCTGGTACTTAGGCATAGGTATCACATTTCCTTTGCAGGAAAATGAGGAGGTATGGTTTGGGCACTTCTTGTACTCCCAAGAACCTCAGGCTCACTAATAACTTTCTGAAAGGTTTAGAGTTTAGGGGTGCAGCGTTGGGTGGGAAGATATCTACTCCATGTCATGTAATTTGCAGAAAAGGTGACTACTTTTTCTACATTTCACTCCCTTTGCCCCTCCCATTTATAATAATCCCCTTGAAAACTCCCAGCTGCACACCTCCCTCCACATTTTCTTCACCATTTATTCTCTCCCATTTCCTGTTTGCAAAGTGATCAAAAAGTTGAAATGTCTTTGACTAGGTAACTGGCTAGGCCAATGTTTCGTGTGCTTTGCTGGTGAATTGGGTTATTGTTGTCTATCTGATAGGCATTGAAGGGTTTAATGTGATCTTACACCAGGTCTCAAATGTGTTTAAGCAATATGGAGCCTTGGTTTAATGCAGCTCAGTGTTAGGTTACAGGATGCAGTTGAATTTTCCTGTGGCAAAGATTGAATAAGATAGAGAACTTTAGAATTTTGATGATTGTTTTTGAGCTGCCAAAGCACTAAATTTCACCAGTCCAGACCTCAAAACAAACAACACCCTCTATATCCATAAAAGAGAAAGGAAATTTGGTCCTTAAATGATGAGAATGATGCTTTTGTATTGATTTATGTGAGAATAGAAGCTATAAATTCGTTTCAGTAAAAAAGTAAATTTGGGGTTATGTGAAAGTCATTATCTGATTTATTACTTAAGTTTTGAGTACTTCTTATAAATGTGAGGATAGAACTCTTTTTTTTTTTTTTTAAACCAATTTGTTTTACTTTAGTGGGCTTGTGAGTTGAAGTCTCTGTTTTTATTCCTTTTTTTGCTCCTGCTGTTCAGTTTTTAAATGTGGCCTCTGACCAAAGAGTATTCTTTTGGATGCATCTGGATGTGGAATTGGTTGCTGACCTACATAAGAATTGGTAGGACACAGTAGCCATTTTTTAAAAAGTGCCTGGAGATGTATTTTAAGAAAGTGTCATACAAAAGAGATAGTTTGGTTAATTTTTTTAAACAAATTTGTTGAACAGTGATTATTTAAATGTTAAAGTGCTTGAAATACTAAATATTTTTTCCTACATTATGCCATACTTTTTCTTTGTCCATCCTTGCTCTGCTGAAGTTCATCTTCCAGATGTCTTAATTTCATCCTCTACTTCCTAAGGTACAATTTCCACTTCCTATAGGATCAAGCCCACATTAGTTGGCTGTCCATATTCTTAACCTTTCTATAATCTATTTTCTAACTTTATTTTCTGTAAGTACGCTCCCATCCCCTGCCCATTTCTGCCAGACTTGGCTCACCCTCTTCTAACTTGGATTTATTTTGATCCTTTCACCCGGAATGCCTTTTCCTCTCTCCTCTCTCTCTCTATATGCTGATCAAATCCATGATAGAACTGAGAAAACTCAGGTTTTTTAGTCAGAATAGATTTGGATTCAAATCTTAAACTTGCTACTTGCTTACTTGCTTACTTGCTTTCCAGGGCATAATACTTAATCTCTCAGAATCTTTTTTTTTTTTTTTTTTTGATACTGGGGATTGAACTCAGGGGCACTTGACCATTGAGCCACATCCCCAGCCCTATTTTGTGTTTCACTCAGAGACAGGGTCTCATTGAGTTGTTTAGCATCTCACTTTTGCTGAGCTTCACTTTGAACTCGCAATCCTCCTGCCTCAGCCTCATGAGTTGCTGGGATTACAGGCCGCAGTGCCTGGCTCAGAATCATTTTTTTAATCTGTAAAATCTGAATGTTAATACTTCACAGAATTATTGTATGGTTTGAAAAGGATTGTGGATGAAATACTCACTGTATGTCACAGAGACCTTCTCTGAGAAACCTTTTATTTTCACATTTTTCTTGTCGCTCAGCTGTGATAAGTCTTTGAAGCCAGAAGTGAAAAATTAAACAACAAAAGTCCGAATGATTTACATATTCTGTCTCTTTGGATTGATTTATAAAGCATTTACTGTGTCATGGACAAGAGGACTGAGAGCTATAACCATCCATCCAAAATACTGTTTGAATCAGTCACCTAGAAAGGATGTGATCATGATGTATACTTTGTTTCTTTAGCTGTGTTGCCACTATCTAGAATGTGTTAGAAGCACCTTAATAGACTTCTCCTCTAGTCCTACTCAGTATGTAACAAAAAGCCTGTGCATCTCCTCAGTGAACCTGCATCCCCAGTAAATGAACTTTCCAGTATAGATCACCCACCAGTACTTTAAAAAGAATAGTTTGTAGTAATTTGGAATGTATTATTTTGAAAAAGCAGAGGCTTAAGTCTTTTCATGTATGTTGTTTTCTTCCCAATGCCTCTGTAAGGTCTTAGGTAGGTATGTCCTCTGTCATTGTTGAAGACAGTCAAATAATTACCCTTGGTTACAGTCAGGTCACACAGCCAAGCCACAGCAGAGCTGACCTTGGAGCACAGTTGGTCCAGAGTCCAGTGATCTTTCCATTACACTGCAGTATTCAAATTACCTTTTTTCTCTTTATCAGGTTGATTTCTTCTTAGTCCTCAGACATGCCAGGTATAGAAATGAACTTATAATAAAAAATAGTTGACATATCCAAATGGGTTTTTAATATGGAAAACAATGTAGATTTTGTTTAGAATTTAAAATTTATATACTTTTTAAACTTCTAGGCAGTTTTAAATGTCCTTTGTTGAGACTTCTTTTTGTTTTTTAGAACCTTTATGTAAGCATGGGTAATTTCAAATGTGTATCTGAAATTGTGAAACAGACTAGAAATGTATTATTTCTCCCAACCCCCATCTTGAAAGGTCAGCTGAAACTTGGTGGAAAACAGGGAATCCTTTAGCTACTGAATCTGGCGGCATCTTGTCTCTGAAGAAGTACTGTTTCCTTAGTTAAGAAATTGTCTTTCCTACAAGATTTTCATAGCTGTGAGGTCAGTCAGGGCAGATGTATTGCAAACTAGAGAACAGATGTAAGCTAACCTGCATTGTAATGAGAACCGGTGTAATATGTCCAACATTCACATATCTCTCCATGGAGGGAAGGGTATAGATTATCCTCATGAAATTGGACAAAGATGATAAAAGTTTGTGTCTTAAGAATGGCATAGTTGGATGGAAGTTCGGGCTAGAGAGTATAGATTAATGCTAAGTGATGCGATGTAGCTAGCATCCTTTAGATACATAAACTTTGTGACAATGACAGTTACCAGGTTCCTAGGCAAATAATCGTTTTTTCATTATGATAAAATGTATATAAAATATATTATTTTAACCATTTAAAATGTATAGTTCAGTAGCACGAAGCACTTTCATGTTGTTGGCCAACCATTACTACCATCTGTCTCCAGAATTCTTGTCTTCTGGCAAAACTAAAACTGTACCCATTAAACAACTCCCTATTCTTCTATTCCTCCAGCCCCTGGCAACCACCACTCTAAGTCTTCTGTTTCTGTGAATTTGACTGTTCTAGGTGCCTCATTTCAGTGAACTCATAACACTATTTTTTTTGAACAGGCTTATTTCACTTAGTATGTCGAACTGTGTCAGAATTTCCTTTTTAAGACTGAATAATATACCATTATATGCACAGTCAGGTTGCTTTGCAATGGGAACACATTCTGAGCAATGCGTCCTTAACCAATGTTGTTGGGTAAACATACAGTATACTTACACTTGTCTAGATACTTACACAGCCTATTATACACTTAGGCTACTCGATATGGACTGTTGTACATGCGGCTCATAGTTGACCAGAACGTCTTTATGCAGTGCATAACTACTACCATGTTTAGTTTATCCATTCAACTGATGATGGTCATTTTGATTGCTTCCACCTCTTTGTTGTGAGTAATGCTGCCATGAATGTGGGTCTATAGATAGCTCTTTAAACCCTGCTTTCAGTTATTTTGAGTATATACCCAGAAGTAGAAGTGCTGG